GGAGAGATCCTTAACACTTTTAGCGTTTCATTCGTTCGGCGTTGCGAGGCGCTTCGTTTTCTCGCGTAAGCTGAAATTTTCAGTTATCCGTTAGCGGATGATTTGAGGTAGACAAGAAATTCGAAGAGGTCGATAGTCGATGCGACGTTACCTGAACCGTTTAAAAGTATAGAGATCGAACGATCAACGGACCGGTCCAAATTGCATTTGGCATAGCGGCAATACGTTGATAATGAATCAACGGACAAACCTTTCGCTTTTGCACAGCGAAGCAACTTTTATATACATTTTATCGTAGATATGACAATCACGTGCTTCCGTGACGAACATATCGATACGGATACGGATAAAGATAAAGATAAGGAGAGAGGTTGCTAGCGCGAGCCGAATGCTCGGTTGTGCTCCCGAAGGGGAGGCGATCTCGAGAAAAATGGTTAGTCGATGCAGAGATAGTAGAGAGAAAAAGAGATACTTGAATGTCGTCGCATCGTTCACGTTTGCAAAGTTACTTTTCGACGAACGGCCGAACGTAGATAATCGAAGAACATACGTAACGAAATTTCATCGGAACGTCCATGTATCGTCGATGGAAACGACAAAATGGAAACACCCCCCCCCCCCCCCACACACACACACACACACTGCCTGTGCCGTAACGATAAGGGTTATCCTTTCGATTGATCGTACCGAACGACAATTCTTTCTCGAAGAATCCTAAAATGTACTATCGAGAATCCTGTGTCGTCGAAACTCTCGTTTTGTATGTACATATGTATAGAGACAAAGAAAACTATTTGTTGAATATAAAGTTACTGGGCAAATATTAAAAATAACAATGGCTATCGTAATACTAGTAGTGGTAATAGTAATAACAATAGTAATAACAATAATAACGTATGACGATGACGACGATGATAGCAAAAACTGCAACCCAACAATAACGACAACGACAAGAAGATTAATGACAGTAATACAGGTAATATAATAATAATAATACTGACTACGACGACAATGCCAACGATGACGAGGAGAATAACGATAATAACAATGAGAATGAGGCAGAAGTAAAAGATACAGTTAATAATAATAATAATATGAAGAAAAGGGAGGAGGGAGGGGGAGGGGGAGGGGGAGGAGGAGAATTAGAACCAGCTAGGTCCGCCAAATTTTGTAGAAAGGCCACCGATGCCCTTGCCAAACATGCTTCCAACTTTTCCCACAACGTTCGATGTAACGTTGCTGATTAGATTCGCGTCTTCACCGGTGATCGTTTCGACGATCGTTACCTTCGCCTTTGGACGTTCTATATCCTCATCGTTACCGTTCTCCGAAAGTCCCCTGCGAAATGCGAAAAACGAGAAAGGAAGGTGGGGTAAAGACGTTTCGTCGGAGGTAGAGCGTGAAGATGCGATCGGTGTACTCACTCTTCGTTCTGAACGCTCGTTAAGGCACAAGTCGCTTCTTCCGTTTGCATCCTCTTAAATATAGTCTGATATGTGGTCGAATTCAGTTTCTCCTCTGTGACACCTTGCAGCTCAAAGTCTGAGTAGATTTTCTTTACGATGTGGGCCAAGCAGGTACATTGGTAGAGGTGTAAACTGTGATCGAGTCTCTCCGAAAGCCAGGTGCACAGCATTTGAATTTGCGCCGTGTACCATTGCTGAAAGAAGAGATATTGAGAAAACGAGAGGAAGGAAGGAACTAGGAGAGGAGTTAAGTACCCCGAAAAACGTTGGAATCCATAGTTCGTCGATTACTTTGCTACGAATCTGATCCATACAGTTTCTCGTAAAGCTCACATAGGCCTGTCCCATTTCTTTTCCGCTTCCCGATACCTTCTGAAAGGGATTCCGGATGAAACTAGTGAAATTTGATTGGAGATTGTTGCGAACGAAAAGGAATCAAGTACCGTAAAGCTGAGAATGGAACCTATGAAGGATCCCTCGTCGTAGCGAGACAATTTGGACAAGGTAGTTTCCAGAACGGTGACCAACTTGTTGATCATCCCTTGGGTCATGGCAGCCGAGGTTTTTTCTATCAGGTCGTCGATCTTGGCGTGATACTGGTGCTGAAAGGGAAATGGTCGACGACGACGAGGATGATAAGCGAAGGCAAGGTTTGGAAAGAGAGGATTTTACCAGGAGATCTTACCACGTCCACACCGTCGATCGTACAGAGTTCGAAGTTTTTATCCTTGGCATCCAGGATGACGTTCACCATCGCGCACATTTCAGAGGGTATGATGTAGTCGGTGGAGATAAAGGTGACATTTTTCTTGAGCCACTGTTGAAACGCGGCATCTGTTCGTTGGATACAAGATTCGATCATGTCGCAGGCCATTAAAGTCAACCTTTGCTCGAGGTGCTGGCGAAATTCTTGATCGGGCCAATGGAGGTCACGGATGAAAGACTGAAGAGCATCCAGCTTCCAGAAGAGCTCGCTGGAAGTGGCGCATCCGTTTCCCTTAATCTCCCAACGTTCCTTCTCGAATCCCTTGTGAATGGATTGCGCGATCGAGGTTTCCATCAGATCGACGTAACGCACGACCATCGGAGCAAAGGTGTCGCGAAGATGTTGATGAAACCTACCGTTCTTCAAGTTATCTGAAAAGAGGAGAAGAGAAGAGAAGAGAAGGTTAGTAGGAGACTTTTCTCCTACTATTGGGGAGATTGGCGTACCATCTTCCCTCAGGTAGTCGTTCATAATTTTAAAAAGTGGAAAGCTGTCCCAAGTGTCCGGTGGTTGTTCGGCGAGCACCTTGTCCATGTCGACGGCGAACAGAGACCAGAAGATCTCGGCGTGCTCCACCATCAGATCGCTAAACCAGGCGAACGCCTGCGGTACAGTGTAGTAGGAGCGGATCGTGAAAATATTGGACGTCACACATATGTATAAACGACGGGGCGGGGGGGGCATAGGTTGTTTTCGACTCAGGGCGACGAGATCGCTCCGAGCCCTGAGCAGAGAACCCTCGAGTTTCGTTGCGCGGTACTCTCTATTCAACTACGCAAGTAAGTATGTACCTTTCCTTCTCTTACCTTCTTCTACTTCTTCGCTCTTATCTGAACCTGAACCACAACGACAACCACAATCCTTCTCGCAAGCTCGATAATTTTAAGCGACAGCACCGTTGGCAAAAGCAACGGGTTGCGTTCGAGCACCACGAGAGAACAACTGAGAAAACGTGCCGAGAACGCTAGTGGAATAGCTGGTAAAGAGTGTGTATACATACATACGTATAACGCGAGCGCGGGGGAGTAAAATTGCAAGCGTGTCTCGAGGATCCCGAGGTAAATGAGACATACAGTTGTAGAAACACAACTAATACCTCCGAGTAATGCTCTCCGTTTTGTTGAAGCAGATCCACGCACATTTCGGCTAGATTTATCAGATCTTCGAGTTTCTTGCTAGGCGGGACGCAAACCTCGCCGCTGAAGTCGTCCTCGATCTTCGCTTCGGCGGAGAGTTTGGTGTAATTGACAAGGGCAGCGGTTTCCAAACAGCTCTTGATCAAAGTTTTCACTTCTTCTTGGGGCACCGTGCCCACGCCGTCCTTCATTATCACTCGCTCGAGAAGGGACAGGGTAGACTTTAACGCGCCTTCCGGCCGACCGAACGGAAAGCTGTACCTGTGTATCACCGATTCGACGAATAGTGGGTAGAGTAGAGGGGAGAGTAGAGGAGCTTACCTAAAGTTGGTTACTTGTTTCTCGAGAATCTGCCTGAGCCTCTCTTTGATCTCCTGAAATTTCTCCTTCTCCTCGTGAGTGATGGAACCGACTCTGTCGGTTCGGTTTCCGTAGACGTGGTTGGCGCAAAACGCGAAGCTATAGTGTATCAGGGTTGGATCGATCATCAGTCCGCGATCGATTCTGTCGAGTAGATCGTTGAGGTAGCAGAGATGTCGAAAGCAGCCGCGAACGCCGTACCTGTGTTACAGAATCATCGCAGATGATCATTACAGAAAGATGAGGGGGATGAGAGAGTAGAGCAGGATAGGTACCTGGCGCAATATTCGTCGATAACGAAGATTTGTCCCGGCGAGAACCAGCCCAACGAGCAGTAAGGATCGGTCAATCGATAATCGAGAATTAAGTTTTGCAGAAATTTAAAGAGAGTGTGGTGATCGAATTTGCAAGGGTCCGCGCTAATGTAATCCTCCATGCCGTGCTTCTTGGCTCGGTCCGCGTCACCCTGTATCTTGCTGATGGTGGAATTTTTATCCGTCACGGAGACCGGCGGCGTGGGTTTGTGGGACTGGCCGGTAGCACGGTACATGACCATTACCCAGGTCTGGCACTCGTTCTCGTCGTCCGCGGCGAACACGATGTTGTCCCCTTCGCGAACCGCGTTGAAGTAATACCTGCGCGGAAGAAGCGACGCAACGAGGGGTGAATAATAGGGCGGTGATAATAGGATGCGCGATAGATACGCTATAGGCACTACTGTGCGTCGACGAGAGGATGGCACTAACGAGCCAGTGAGATTTTTACGATTCGTTTGCCATGCCATCTTCTCGTGGACGCACGGTACACGTATGTACCGTCCGTCGTCTAGGTCCATGCCGACCATTAGATTGGCGGAGACGGGCTCGATGTAGTCGACCGTGTAACCGTCGAGTTGCATCATCTCGGAGGGTTCGCCTCTCTTCACTTTGTACGAGCACATCGCGAACGTGCACTGGGAAACTTGAACCAACACGTGGTACCGTTTCTTCCACTTTTTCCACACGGACTTGCCCATAGCGTACAAATAACCGCAGTGCTTCATGTTGAACGGTTTGTCCATTCGGCAACTGATCTTGATGTGAAGGTCCCGGTCCGGGCAATTCTTCGGCACGACCATCCGGTACCACTCCGGTTGTTTACAAGACGACGGGGTAGGCTCGAGGATCACTTTGCCCAGCTCCTTGTCCTCGAGCGCGAGCATCGCGGAATTCTCGGTGTAGAGTCGAATCTTGACCACCGGCAGCGGATGCGTGGTGGTGAAGTCGCCTTGCGTGTCCCACCTGTGAATGGCAAAGGGGAGGGGGACGCGAGAAAAGAGAGAAGCGTCGTCGAGAGCGTGTAACGCGGTGGGCCAAATATCCCCTCTCGGCTCCTTAGGTAAACCAAGGTCGGCCAAGGGAAAGGAACGAACGCAGGTAAGTGCGTACGTCTGTCCGGGGAATGAACGGTGCCGAGGGGGATATGCCTACTACTCACATAGGTTTCGAAGCTTCGGCTTGATCGGTCTGCAACTTTTTGCTACCCTCGACCTCCAACGTGCAGTAAACTATTTTGTTCGGTGGCAAGCTTTTCAAGCCCCTAACCTCGATGATTACCACCGCTAATTGAAAGGTCAGGGCCACGTCCATTTTGGTGAGCTGAGGTTCCGAGTCGGCGGAGTCGCTCTCCAATTTAGCGAGAGAACCCTGAGTGCGGCAGCGGGAGCGCTCGCGACGATGGTTGTAGCGCTTCAGCTTCTGCAGCCCGTATTTGCTGTCTATCGAACCTTTCGAGACCGGCAACGACTCCAAATTAGCCATCAACAGGTTGATAGACGACTTTAGTTCCTCGATGTAGAGCGACTCCATTTCTTTTAAGAGGAACTTGGGCATGAGCTTGCGATTCTACGCAGCAACAACAACAACACAGGAGGAGAACGTGAGATGACCACCAAGTGGAGAAACGTGCGCGAGGGAATATGTAGTCTGTACCGATCGTTTTCTTAGATACTCGTATGTATACATTGCTCTGCAAAAGAAGTGGGGAGGAGGAGGAGGAGGAGGAGGAGGAGGCGGAGGAGGAGGAGGAGGAGGAGAGAAAGCGCGGGCGAACGCTAGCTACCTTTTCCATTTCGTTGACCTTCTGGAGGTGACCGTCTAGCTCCCTCCTGATGGCGGCAGCCTGCTCGTCGGCTGAATCCAACAGGAGGGCATTGAACAGAAGCTGGTGCTCGAATTTCTTGATGCCGAGAATTTGCTGAAACATGTCGTACAACTGCTCCTTCGACAGTTTCATCTCCGAGATCAAAGACTGTTGTTGCACCCTGGAGGATCTCTTGGGCTCCTCGTCACCCGTACCTTTCATGATACAATCGAACTTGGCCAACCAAGACGTAAGTACAGTATCTTTGCTCAGTCCCTCGATTTCCGGGATGCGTCGAACACGAATCTCTATGTTCTTCTTGAACACTTCGCGGAAGTCGAGTTGCGAGCAAGCACCGCTTTGCACCATTTGAACCACTCGGTCCGACGTGAGAAACACGTCGTAGAAATTCTGTATCGCGTTGCGAAACGCTTCGTCCGCCATTATCTGGGTCTCCCCCTTCAGGAAGCCCTGCGAATCGTAATGGGAAAAGAAAACATTGTATCTCGTTAGCCTCGTTATTCGCTTGGTTTGCCGCGAATCGTCTCGCATCGTTATTCCTTGCCGACGACCAGCCAGCCAGACAGCCGGTAACCGAAGGCGAAGGTTACACCGACGCGACGCACGCGAGAATTGTACCGACCACGTGTACGGCTTCTTCCATCGCGTTACGTTTCCTTCCAAGGGTTTCTTTCCGATGCGACATTGCGAAAGAAGCGAGATATTAATTAAGATGGGTGGCTGACGGCGGAAAAGAAGCGCGATGCGGAAGAGGTACGATAGGATAGTGAATGAGAGACCTGAAAACGGGAGCACATATTCTCGAGCTGAGCCTTGTTCACTTTCAACGGACGTTTTGTCATGTCCAACGGTTGCTTGGCGTTGAACGGATAAGCGATGCATCTCGAGACGAACACGTACAGCTGTATCCTGGTCTTTCGCTCCTCTTCTTCGCGCTCCTGCTTGTCCTGCGGCAACAGAGAAAGAGGGAGGGGGGGAGAGAGAGAGAGAGAGAGAGTGAAAAGGGTAGCGGGCAGAGGGTGGTTACCTGTAGAGAGTTGTTACCTGTAGGTCCACTTCGGTTTTCTCGCTGGCGACCGAAGGCGAGGGGCTGGTGGGCCTCTGAGCGTAACTGGCCGCGTCCTGAGCGGCAGACATCGAGGGGGACAGGGAATTCCTGGCGGCGGCGAGACCGGACGCGTCGAAAGCTGCGTCCTGACCGGGCGGGCCG